AGCGCTCCAGCAACAATGGCAGCGGTCTGTGTGGGGCTGTTTTCGGCCCCTGGGGGCCCTCGCCGCGCCTCGGGGCTGTCAAAAGACGACTCGGGACGACGAGCCAGCCCTGCGTACAGACAGTCAGGTGAGTTGGTGCGATTGGAAAATTCGGCCCGAATTCTCAAGTCTCACGAGGGCACATCGCTCGGGCGTGTGCACTTTTCCTTCGGCGAGGGCCACCGAGTTGCATCCTGGATCATCTGGCGAAAAAGCCACGCACGAAACCGAGACAAAAACACAGGGAATGGACGTCCGAGCGATGGCGAGAGACTGTCGGTCCAGCCAGCCCAGGGGCCGTCGGCCCAGCCAGCCTTGGGAAAAAAAAGGCTCGGCGGCAGGCCGCGGGCGACGGGCGCAGCGTCGGGCGCCCGAGCACGAACAAGTGCGGGGGGCCCCGCAGACGTTGACGAGGGTCCCCGCTCGGGAGTGTCAACCTCGCCTCGGGCGTCGGATGCGGGTATGGGCCCGCTACCCCTCGGTCGTTGAAAGTAGGATTTTTTGGATTCCCAGATTCCAATCTACTTTCAGCGCCTTCCTACTTCAAGAGTCGAGTGGTTTCCCTCTCCCCTCCTCCTCAGGAGGCGGGGCGGAAACCCGATCTATTTCCAACGCCTTCCTACTTCATGTTTCTACCCACTTCTTCCGACCGATGGGTACGGGTCCCATGCGGATCCGATGCTGGTTGGACAGATCCGATTCGAATTCCATGGGCTTGGGACGGACCCAACTGGTGGGGAGATCGCGTGTTTGGCACGGATCCCGTCGGACCGCTGCACCCTTGTAGCACGCCTAATGAAGGGCAGCGAAGCTTTCCGAGGACGACTTACGTAGGGGCACGGGGCAGGCGCGACAGGGGGAGGAAGGCGCCTTCCAGAATTTTATTCAGGCGCTCCTCTCTAGATCTTTATTCAGGCGGCTCTTTCCAGAACTTTCCGTGGGCGGCTCCTTTCGGAACTTTGCTGAGCTGCTCCTGTGGGTTCCGACGTTTTGGCCGTCGCGCCTTCTGATCACTGGATTTCGCCGTCGTTGGCGTCATCGTCGTCGTCGCTGGCTCCTTCCTGAGGTTCAGACCCCGGTCACCCGTGGATTCAGTCACGCCTCCAGTCCAAGCAAGTTCGGTCACGCTTCCGGTCCAGGCAAGTCGCACCAATTTCATTTGATTGTCCGTGAGCCAATGGTCCAGACCTCCAGGGCCCACGCATCGAAACAATGGATGAAGCCGGATGTCTGGGTTCGAGGTTGCCAGAGACGAGGGTTCTTTGCTGTTTCTCGGCGGCGGGCCCGGCCAGGGGGCAGGGCAGAGGGTGCAGACCCTCGCAGAGAGCTCGGCAGGACTTGGGCATGCTAGAAGTTTTTGTTGCCTTCCCCGAGGATTCACCACCCACCAAACCACCCAGCCCGAGCCCAAGGCCCCATTTGCGTTCCCTTCCCAGAAGGGGGGCGCCAGGGAGAACATTGACAAAACACGTGTGGAGCCCGTGCCCGCCGCCGAGTTTCGGCCTCTGGGGGCGCCAGGCTTCGGGACTATCTGAACATTGCCGAGGACGAACAGCCACGCGCAGTGGGGGGTAGGGGGAAGGGGGTCGGTTTTTTTGAAGCACTCTTGCCTTTTAGGAAGTGCCAGCCTTGTTTGTAGATACAAGGTCGATGCCTTCTGAAAAGCAGTCTTTTTCAAACAAACGTTCCCCTTTTCCGCTGGACTCTTGAGCGCGCCGCCAAAGGCCGGCCCTACGAAATGTTTTCTTTTTTTCAAAGCGTCGCGCTGAAAACGGGCAAGGTTCGGGTTCGAGGTTCGCGGGGGTGCCTTCCAGCAGCTGCGCCTCGCCGAGGGCGTTCCAGGGGTGCCTGCTTCGGCCTTGGAGGCCAGAACGCCACGATGCCGAGACGGTGGCTGCCTTCCACAGACCTCCAACGCACCATCAGCATCGAAGCGGTGCCATTGTTTCGCGCCCAGTGTTCTGGGAGCGTTCCGGGGTCGGTGCGGCTCGGCAGGGTTCTGGTTGTGATGTTTCCTGATGTGGCAATATCTTCGGCTGCAAATCGTGGGAGCCTTTTGTACCCTCGCAATTCTGTCCTTAGCGTCGCTTGGCGTTTGGGAGTCGATAAGGTAGCGCCGACTTAGCGTCGGCTGGCGTCGGCTAGCGTCGATTCAACGTCGGTTAGCGTCGACTAGCGTCGACTTTCGTCGATTCGCAAGAGCCGACAAGATGGTATGGGAGGCTCCCATGAGTTGCCACCGAACATGTCTAGCCAACGGTGGGTCTCAAGGCCTCCCATACCCCCAACGCGTTGACGGGTGGCGGAGGTTTTGCGCAGTGTTCGGCGGCCTGGATGAAACACTGGCCCCGCAGAAAGCGCCAGGAGGCATACTGTCGTGGTGATATGGTGATATGATGATGATGATGATGAGCATGATGATGATGATGATGCTGATGATGATGACGATGATGACGATGATGACGATGGTGATGATGATGATGATGATGATGATGATGATGATGATGATGATGATGATGATGATGATGATGATGATGATGATGATGATGATGATGATGCTGCTGGGGGGGCTCTTGGGGCCTCCTGGGGGCTTCTTGGGGCCGAGGGGTCGAGCTGCCCGTTCGGGTCCCCCGTCTGGGCACCTTCTTGGGGCCGTCTTGGGATCCTCTTGGGCCGTCCAGGAGGCCTCTTGGGGCGTCGTGGGTCCCTCTTGGGTCGTTTGGGAGCCCTCTTGGAAGCCTCTTGGGCCGTCTTCGGACCTTCTTGTGGGCCTCTTTGGCCGTTTTGGATCGTCGGGAAGTCTTGTTGGACCAAAATTCGCACGACAACCGAATGACAATAAAAGAAGTTTGCCTCCTGGGGCCCTCCTGGGAGTGCTCTTGGAAGCATCTTGCGGCGTCTTGAAGGCCTCTAGGGCCGTCTGGAGGCAATCTCTGGCGTCTTGGGCCGACTGTTCGGAGATTCGGGGCCCTTCTTGGACCGTCTTGGCGGCCTCTTGGATCACTCTTGCCCCGTCTTGGGGCCTTGTTGGGCTCCGGGACTTTGGCATTCTGACCCAGGACCCCCCTCCCAACACTTACGTCGGGCACGTCCCTCTACAGGAAGAATATTCAGAAATAGCCAGAACATAGTATGGGGACGATGGTTTGACTATTTTTGGCAGTTGTTTTGCACATTTTTGTAGTATTTTTTATTTTTCGTCCACCCCCCCCCCTACACCCCCCCAACGCCCCCTCCCGCCCGACCGAACCCCACCCCCCTCCCCAACCCCACCCTCAACAACCCTCCTGGGGGTTCCCCCCTCCCGGCGAGGGAAGGGATCAAAGGGGAGGGGTTTCCCTTGGGTTCATCTGCGACGCTGCTCAATGGCGCCTTGCCTTGCGCGCTCGAGGAGGAGGGCCCAGGGAAAGGATGTGGGAGCCACGACGACGACGGCGACGACGACGGCGACGACGACGACGAGGACGAGGACGAGGACGAGGTCGAGGACGAGGACGACGAGTCAAACGAAGCAGCGTCTCGCTCCTGCCGACGGGGTCGGCGGACCTGGGCCTCTCGGAGGCCCCTCGTCGCCTCGGCCGGCTCCGCCCCGACGAGCGGGCCAGGGCGGAGCCCCAGGAGGGGCCCAGGGTACCCATACTCCTCATCTTTCTCCTCCTCCTCCTCCCCCTCCTCCCCCTCCTCCTCCTCTCCTCCTCCTCCTCCTCTCTCCCCCCTCCCCTCCTCCTCCTCCTCCTCCTCCTCCTCCTCCTCCTCCTCCTCCTCCTCCTCCTCTTGAGCCGATCTTGATGCTCAGCCGATCTTGAGCCTGGCATCGCTCGGACCTGTGCATGCTCTTCTCGGCGAGAGCCATCGAGGACCATCCTGGACCATCGAGCAACAACAGACACGCACGCCACCCACAAATGCACGGGAAGCGGACGCCCGAGCGGTGGCGAGTGGGCGGATCTGTCTGGGCTCCCCGCATGGGGTCCGAGCAGGCGGGGTCAGGAGGATGCGCCGCCTCGCCGACGTATCGGCCACGCTGCTCGGTGTGGGGCCCGGCTTTCCGTGCCGACGTCGCCGATGCATCGCCGAGGCGGTGCGGCGCGATCCTCCGAGCCCATCTGTTCGGACCCCATTTAGGAGGCCTCTGATTTGGGTTATGTCGGGCGTGTCCCCCTACAGGGGGATTTTCGACGAAAAACAAAAAATACACCAAGAATACCCCAAAAAGGTAAACAAAATTTTCAAAAAATAGTCCCCAGACTATCTTTGGGCTATTTTTTGATGATTTTTTGGGGTAGTTTTCATTTTTCGTCGAAAATCCCTTTGTATGGGGGACAGGCCCTCTCGCAGGCCCAACGCCCCAGCAAAAATCGGAGCGGGCGGTTTTGGGCTGCTGCTGGCCTCTGGTTGGCCCTGGCCAGGCCTCAGGACCATCCACAGAAAGCCTCCTCCTCCTCCTCCTCGTCCTCCTCCTCCTCCTCCTCTCCCTCCTCCCCCTCCTCCTCCTCCTCCTCCTCATCCCCCTCCTCCTCCTCCTCCTCCTCCTCCTCCTCCTCCTCCTCCTCCTCCTCCTCCTCCTCCTCCTCCTCCTCCTCCTCCTCCCCCCTCCTCCTCCCGGTCGAGCGCTCGAGCCCCATGTCGGGAGGCCGCGACCTCGGCCGACCCTCCTCCGCACAGCACTCCTCGCCGGCGCTGCGGCTGCGCTGGCGGGGGCCGGCGCGCGGCTGTGGCGCGCGGGCGGGCGGCGGCAGCCGCACCGGCGGGCGAGGCGCAGGATGACGATCGAACAACACGCACCCATACCCACAGGGGGGACGGAGGAGGCTATGGGTGCGTGTTGTCGGATTGGGGTCCCCGCTCGAACGGGAGCTTCCCCCAGGGTCTGACAATTCGCACCCATACCCACAGCCAGTCCCCCTCCTTTCGACCCTCCTATGGGTATGGGTGTGAGTTGTTCGCTCGTCACAGGAGGCGGCTTCTGGTGCAGGCGCGGGCGGAGGCGAAGGACAGGGCGCAGCTGGACGAGGAGCTCGCCGAGTCGCTGTGGCAGCGGACCCTGACCTGCGTGGACTTCGACTACGTCCTGGATCGCCTGCGCCAGAACTGCTACACGAAGCTGGGGCAGGCCATGACCGAAGACCCCGACGGGCTGATGGCCCAGAGCGCCGAGGATCGCAGGCGGACGAGTGGAGACGACGGCAGCTCAGAGGAGGAACAGGCACCCATATCGCTGCCCTCCCCTCGTCTGTCCCTTTTTGGGGCCTCCTCGGAGGCCGTCGTCGCCACCGCTAGACTCGCATCGGAATGCTAGTCAGGACGCACACCAGGGAAGGTCTGTGGAATGACGGTATTGGTACCTGTTGGTTTCCCCAGCCCCAGACCCGTGGCGTCGTGATTAGTTCCGCACTGTCGACCCCCTGAGTCGTTTTTTCATGGTCCCGAGGCTCGGTGAGGAGTGCTTCCAGAGGCCGAAACCTCCCGTCGTGTTTTTTCTACAACGCGAGGGGGTCTGGGGCAGTTGGCCTGTGGGGGCCTTCTCGTCGCCACAGCTGGGCGCAGCCTGGAAGACTTGTGCGTTTGGGTCCTGCAGGAGGGGTCCGTGGACTGATGTTGACCTGCCGTTGTCTCTAGGTTCACCCCCAGGGGCGCGAAGATGGTCGCGCCTCGCGCATCGCGGCTTGGGTTGGAAGTGCGCCGCGCGAGGGCGCGAAGATGACCGCGAGTCGCCCATGAATCGTGGGGCGCGAGGCGCGAATTTAGGAGACCTAGTTGTCTCAACTCGGCGTGTTCCGAGAGGAGATGCGCCAGCTCTACTCCATGGTGCAGGAGATGGCTCAGCTGGAGGACAAGGACTTGACGCTGGAGAACGACCTGGACATCGAGTCGCAGATCGAGCTCTGCTCTCGGGGCTCGGTGCTGGAGAGGTCGGAACTGGTCCCTGTGTCCGTCACCATCGAGGCCCTACTCGTCCTTCGCAACAACCTCGAGCGCGCATCCGCGCGCGGCGTTCAGGTGCCACAGCTGATGGCGCTCGTGGAGCAGATAGACCTCCCAGACGAGCTCTTGGACAATCTGTTGCATGCCTTCGACGAGGAGCGGGGGGCAAAGAATGGCATGTGCATGGACGTTCGGAGGTCCGCGCGAATTTCTTAGATACGCGCTGTGCCCCCCTCCATGACGCGCGGAGCGCGCCAAGGGCGACGCCAGGGGGCTCCAGCGCCGATCCAAGAAGCCCTCGTGGACCTTCAAAAGCTTACTCTGGGTGGGACACTCATCGAGTGGTGGGCGACTATCCTTCCGACGGAGCTTGCCCATCCCTTCCCCTCCTCCACCTCCTCCTTGCTCCTCCGCCTCCTCCTCCTCCTCCTCCTCCCCCTCCTCCTCCTCCCCTTCCTCCTCCTCCTCTTCCTCCACCCCCCTCCACCTGAGCCGACAGCACGTGATCCCCCCCCAGCGGATCAAAGGGGGGGGCGACTATTTCCCCATCAGAGTATGTGTAGTAGTAAACGTAGTAGTAGTAGTAGTAGTAGTAGTAGTAGTAGTAGTAGTAGTAGTAGTAGTAGTAGTAGTAGTAGTAGAAGTAGTAGTCGTCGTAGTAGTAGTAGTAGTAGTAGTAGTAGTAGTAGTAGTAGTAGTAGTAGTAGTAGTAGTCGTAGTAGCAGCAGTAGTAGTAGTAGTAGTAGTCGTAGTAGCAGCAGCAGTCGTAGTAGTTGTTGTTGTTGCTGTTGTTGCTGTTGCTGCTGCTGCTGTTCATGTAGTTGGTGTTGGTGTTATTGTTGCTGGTGGTGGTGTTGTTGTTGTTGGTGTTGTTGTTGATGTTGTTGTTGTTGGTGTTGGTGTTAATGTTGGTGTTGCTGTTGCAGTGGCTGTTGCTGTTGATCTTGCTGTTGCTGTTGGTGTTGGTGTTGGTGTTGGTGTTGGTGTTGGTGCTGCTGTTGTTGTTGTTGGTCTTGATGATGTTGTTGTTGATGTTGTCGTTGCCGTCGTCTTCGTCGTTGTCATTGTTATTGCTGATTTTGTTGTTGATGTTGATGTTGTTGTTGTTGTTGGTGGTGCTGGTGTTGGTGTTGGTGTTGCTGCTGTTGTGGTTGCTGGTGCTGTTGCTGTTGGTGTGGTTGCTTTTATTGTTGGAATTGTTGTTGTTGTTATTATTATTGTTGCTGTTGTTGCTGTTGCTGATGCTGTTGGTGTTGTTGTTGTTGCTGTTGTTGTGGTTGTGGTTGTGGTTGTTGGTGTTGTTGTGGTTGTGGTTATGGTTGAAGTTGTGGTTGCTGCTGTTTTGGTTGCTGTTGTTGTGATTGTTGATGTTGCTGCTGCTGCTGCTGTTGTTGAATTTTCCATTTCTGAAAAATTGTTGTTGTTGATCCCCTCCACCGGTGCATATTGTTTTTTCTCAATCAAAGTGTGCCCCTCGACGCTCGCACCCTGTTTTTTGACAGGGAAAGTCTTGATGCTCAAACTGGGCCCCTGGCCCCCAGGTTACAACAACAACGGCTCCCGCCTGAGACATCCTTACAATTTAGCCAGGACCCCCGCTCCCTCCCGAGACTTCCTTGCATTTTATTCAGGAATCGCGCTCTCGCTTGGGACTTCCTTGCAATGTATTAAGGAATCGCTCTCCCGGCGCTCTGGAGTCGCGCTCTCGCTGGAGACTTGCTTGCAACTTACTGAAGAATGGCCTTGCGTTGGAATTTCCTGCAATTTACCCAAGCGCCGCGCTCCCGACACCCAGGCACCCAGGAGTCGCGCCCGTTGTGGCCCCATGTGCATGCCCTTCGTGGCCCCGCTGTCGCCATTTGTGTCCCCCTCACTGTCCTACGTGGCCCAGTTGCTACCCTCAGTGTCCCCATAGTTGCCTTCTGTGGCCCCGCATTATCTGCATTTCGTGGCCCCCGCTCTTTCGCTCTCTTCGTGGCCCCATACGCATTCCCTTCGTGTCCCCGCTGTCGCCCTTCGTGGCCTACTTCGTGCCCTTCGTGGCCCTGCTGCCGTTCTCTCTCGCTCTCGCTTTCGCTCGATGTCGCCGTCGTCGTCGTCGTCGTCGCCGTCGTCTTCGACGTCGTCGTCGTCGTCGTCGTCGTGGTCGGTCTCCTGTCCGTCCCTCTTGGGGTCGGGTCGACGGTCCGCGGCCGTCCCGCCGATCAGCGCTGCCGCTGGCCAGGCCGACTGTCCGCGGCCGCCCCGCCGCTTGCCGGGGCCCGGCCTGCAGGGAAGAAAGGTATACCCCCCAGAAGGGGTTCGATCGAAGACGAAGAGGGCGGGTATCGAGGGTTTGGGAAATACGCGTTATTGGACACTCGAGCATATAAGGGCGAACAGTCTTAACATTATTGTTGTTATGGTTGTTGTCGAGGTTGCTGCTGTTGTTGTTGTTGTTGTTGGTGTTGTTGTTGTTGTTGTTGTTGTTGTTGTTGTTGTTGTGGTTGTTGTTGTTGTTGTTGTTGTTGTTGTTGTTGTGCATGTCGTCCTTCGTCCCTCGAGAGGAGGGGAAGCTCTCCGAGAAGAAGTTCCCGGAGCTCGCGCAGATGCGGAAGAGGGTCACGGAGTTGGAGAAGCAGAGCGCTCAGGCCATGCAGGAAATCCTCGCGAGCCGGAAGTACAAGTCCTACCTCAGCGAGGACGGCTACCAGCAGTTCGGCACGCGCTATGTGCTGAGCGTAAAGAGGGGGTTTGCGGACCAGGTGGGCGAAACGTTGGACGAGTCGCGGTCGGGAAACATGCTGTATGTGGAGCCGAGAGAGCTTGCCGGCGTCTCCGATGAGCTTTCGAACACCAAGAAGGAGCTCAAGTTCAAGCAGCGCCGCATCCTGAGTTTCATGTGCGTGACCATCTCGCGGGCAAGCGAACAGCTCCGCTCCTGCATCGACGTCGCCGCCCGGGTCGACCTCGCGCGCGCGCGCCTCTTCCTCGGGGAGGACCTCGGTGGCGAGGTGCCCGAGGTGGGCGACGAGGGGGTGATCTCGAGGACCAGGAAGCGGCACCAGCACAAACTTGCAGAGCCCGCCCGGATCTCTTCGATCGGCGCCGGGACCCGCACCCGGCGCGCGCGGAGCGCGCGGAAGTGCCGGCGCGAGAGGCGCCGCCATGGGGCCCGGCGCCATGCCAAGACATCCGGGCGGAGCTTCGAAAGCGTATGCTTGTGGCGTTTTCTGCCCCTCGATCGTCATGGCCCGGTATGCCCGCAACCCGTGCCTGTTGCTGAAGGGCGGCGCCCGGGTGGTGGGCTATCTCGGAGGAGGGCCAGTTGAGGCAGCGGCGGTTCCCGCCCGGCCAGCACCCGTCAGCATCGGTCCCCGGACCGCTCCCCGGGGCCTCCTCCTCCTCCTCCTTCTCCTCCCCCTCCTTCTTTTCCTCCTCCTCCTCCTCCTCCTCCTCCTCCTCCTCCTCCCCCTCCTGCTCCTCCTCCTCCTCCTCCTTCTCCTCCTCCTCCTTCTCCTCCTCCTCCTTCTTCTCCTCCGTCAGCATCGGTCCCCGCGAGTCCAGCCGCAGCCATGACATCTCTCCAGGAGGCCCCAGGCGGGACGAGGCACGCCGGGAGGCGCCGCCGCTGCCTCGACTGGCCCTCCTCCGGCCATCGTCTGGAGCTGGGCACCTTCACGCAGGTCGGCGGCGCACCCCGGGGGGATCAGCCACGCGCAGAGGGGGGTGGGGGGAGGGGGGAGGGCTTCTTAGAAGCACCCCTGCTTCTTAGAAGGCGCGGGCCGTATCTATAGATGTGAGGCCGCCGCCTTCTAAGACGCAGCCTCCTCCGAAGAAGCCCTCCCCCCTCTCTCCACCCCCTTGTGCGCGCCGCCAGGGGGAAGCGAGAGGGCGGGCAGGCCTCCTCCGCAGCAGGCGGCGCGGGGCTCCTCGGCGGCCCTCCGGCCTTCCGAGAGGCCCTCGCCGTCTGCGGAGAGGGGCCACAGAGAGCTGCTCGGAGGGCCGGAGGCCTCCCGAGCCTTCCGCGGAGGCCCGCGCCCCTGCCGCCCTCCTCCCCGGGGGGGGGGGCTCCCCGTCACGCAGGGCCTCGTTCTCAGCGGCCCCAACGCGGGCGGCAAGACCGTGGTGCTCAAGACGATGGCCCTGCTCGCCCTGCTCGCGCGCTGCGGCATCCCCGTGCCCGCGGGCGAGTCCCCGCGCGTGGACTTCTTCGACATCGTGCTGGCCGACGTTCGGGGCGGAGGAAACTCCAGTTCCGCATGTCTTCTATAGTGTTCGAGGCCCGCGGTGGTTCCCATCAGCTGCGCCTCGTCGAGAGCTTTGGGGGGGGGGGCAGGATCGTCCCGAGCTGCCGCTGGAGACCCGCGTCTTGCCGCGAAAACAGTTCGAAGAACATCACATGGCGTACACGGTAGCTTCCGTGCGCCCGCAAATTCGTGTTTGGGCAGACGCCTGCTCCTGCAGAGGTGGGGGACATGCAGACCATCGTCGACGACCTCTCCACCTACTCCGCGCACCTGGTGGCGGCCAGGATCATCCTGCAGGCCACGGCACGCAACGGCCCGAGGTCCCTCGTCCTCATCGACGAGGCGGGTACCGGCACCGACCCCGCACAGGGCGCCGCGCTGGCGCGGGCGCTGCTGGAGAGCCTGCTGGACGCGGGCGCCCGCCTCGTCGCCACCACCCACTGCGACCAGCTGAAGAACTGGGCCCTGGAGGACACGCGCACGGAGATCGCGGCCATGGAGTACAAGGAGGGCCAGCCGACCTTCCGGCTCACCCGCAATGCCATCGGCGAGTCCCACGCGATATCGGTGGCGAGGCGCCTGGAGCTGCCCGCTTCCATGGTGGACCGAGCGGAGTCGCTGCTCGCAGAGGACCAGCGCTCGCTGTTGGCGCTCCAGCGGGAGGTCGAGAGGATGGAAAAGGAGCTTAAGGAGAGGCTGCTCGCGGTGGAGGAGCGCGAGGACGAGGTCGAGGAGGCGATACGGCTCGCCGAGATGCGGGAGGCGGAGGCGAACGCTCACCTGAGCGAGCTCCAGACGCGAGAGGCTGGCATTACGTCGGGCCTGTCCCTCTACAGGGGGAATATTCAAAAATAGTGAAAAAATCGTCAGGGGATTATTTTTGGAGTATTTTCTGATCATTCTGGAGCATTTTCGGCGTATTTGTTGTTTTTCGTCGAAGATCCCCCTGTAGGGGGACACGCCCTAACCTAAGGCTGGCATGGCCATCAAGCAGGAGATGCTGGAGAGCAAGCTCATGCGCGAGCACTCCGAGCGCGTGGCCGCCCACGAGCAGAAGCTGCAGCAGCTCCTGGCCTCCCTCGCGGAGAGCGGCACGGCCGACTCGCGCCTCAAGATCGTCGGCGACGCCGTCATGGACCTCAAGGTCAAGTCGGGCCTGTCCCTCTGCAGGGGAATATTCAAAAATACTAAAACAATAGCCTGGGGACTATTTTTGTTAGGATTTTTGGTGCATCTTTTGAATCTGTTTTGAATATGTTTTGCGTTCGTCCAACATCCCCCTGTAGAAGGACAGGCCCGACCCAACTCAAGGTCGAGAGCAGCGGGCTGAAGCAGCTGGCCAGCAGCCAGCAGAAGAAGGCGGCCCAGCGCCTGCCCGGTGCCCTCGGCGCGGGGGATAAACTGCGCGTGGGCGACTGGGTGGTGGTCCTCTCGCGGTGCACGTGGTACGGCTTCAAGGGCCAGGCCCGAGGGCGCGGGAACGCAGACCGCAGAGAGGAGCGGAGCTCTGGCTGTCGGGCCCTCCCCGAGATCGAGGTCGGGGAAGCCTGCCGTGGCTCGGACTCGCCGTTGCCAGAGAAGCTCCTCCGCAGATCTGCGACCGCTCCAATTTGTCAAAAGAAGCACGCGCGCGTCGCCGTCCAATGAGGCAGCACCGGCCTCACTCCTCGGCGAGAGCGCTCTCGCCGATCCGTGGGCCTGTCGCCCACGCGATGGAGGAGCGGATCCGTAGCCCATGTTAGTGTGTTGGGATTCAACTCTTAGGGGGGTCATTTCAGCATCGGCGCTGGTACATCTGCGGTCGCCAATTTGCAACGTCTTTGCATCATCCTGCTGAACTCAATTTAAAAGTCCGCATCACGCGGCTTGAACCCAAGCCCAATCCAGCATAGTCTGGCCCACGCTGAATCGGGCTCCACAGCCCTTCATCGTTCTCACGAAGACATCCCAGGAGTTGCCTCTTCAAGGTGTCTACGCTCGCGGTGGGTCGAAGTAAACGGGGTCGATTCCTCAGACATTCGCGCGTACGTTTCCCACGTAAGGCCGCGCGTAAAGCGCCCTCTTTTCCAGTGTAGCCTGCCGCGCTGGCGGCCCGCGTAAGCAACCGCGCACGGTCGCTATGTCGCAGTGCATGAGGCCCTTGTGATCGATTTCTTATACCTGTTTCTTCCGATCGGCGCGGGCCCTCGCCGCCCCCCCTCCCCTCCCTCCTCCCTCCTCCCTCCTCCCTCCTCCCTCCTCCCTCCTCCCTCCTCCCCCCCTGGAGTAGATCTTGGTTGTTTTTTGGCCTGTTTCGAACAGGTGGATTGTCCCCCATGGGACGCACTGCTGCATGCAGTCGCACTGAGCAGAGCTCCGGCGCCAGACCCCCCCTACCTCCCTTCCGCCCAGTGTGGAAACGCTGCAACAGAAAACGCTCACCTTTTGTCTCGTCGCTCGTGTTGGCGTGTGCCCCGCAGGTGTCGAGGCTCGATGGGGGCGCCAATGGAACTCCGCAGCGGGTCGTCCTGGTGATGAGCGGCTCCAGCAACGTGGTGGAGGTCCTGAAGACGGAGGTCGGGCGGACGACCGCGCCTGTGGTCAAGGCGGCCCCCGGGCAGAGGCGGGGGGGGGGGGAACGCCAACTGTCAGGGGCAACCTGAAGGGGGGCACGGGCTCGGGTTAGATCGGGCCTGTCCCCCTACAGGGGGATTTTCGACCAAAAATAAAATATTTTAAAAATCATGAAACAATAATCCGAAAATAGTCCGGGGACTATTTTTGGTGCATTTTTTGATTTTTTTGGATTATTCGCGGGGTATTTTTTTCTTCGTCGAAAATCCCCCTGTAGGGGGAACGCCCGACATAAGGCTCGGGGTGTGTGTGTGTGTGTGTGTGTGTGTGTGTGTGTGTGTGTGTGGACCCCCAACCGCCCGTTCATCGCCGACAGAGGGGCCTGATGGCCCACACCTCCGAGGAGCGTGTGGGTGTCGTTGTCAGGGGCCTGTCGCCGAGCCATCGGCGATGCATCGCTGGCTCAAGCTCCAGGTTTCCCTCCCTGAGCTGGTGGTGTCCGAGATGGGGGTGCGAACTGAGGGTTGCGGATGATCATGGCTGGGGCCATGAAGGGACGGGCAGGGGGGAGAGTTTCGGGTGCGAGGTTCGAGGCTTCGGGGCACTCCTGTAGATTCTCACGAGTTTCCGATCCTCGGGGTGCGTTCAGCGGCTGCGCCTCGCCAAGAGTGTTCCGGAGCTGCCCGCAACGTCGCCAACGGCCGCCGGGGGCCAAAGACATGTCCCGAAAGCCCCCAGGCGTGGAGGGGGGGTGCAAAAATCTGGGGGATGGCTGGGGCCATGAGATCTCCCAGATCTGACGACCCCCCTGGTGTTCTCTCAACGCGTTCCCTGGCTCCCACGCGTCCGCGCACACACCTCGGGCCATGATGCTCCCCCCTCTGCTCCTGGCGCCCCTCCTGGGCGCACCCGATGTTCGGCTGCACGCACACTGGCAACCCATGCCAGGAAACACCCTGGCTCGCCTCCAGGGTGCCCCGGGTTTCTTGGGCCCCGATGGTTCTGCTGTGGAAGGCGTGGCACTCCCGCGCCAGGAGTCGGAATGGACGGGCAGGCTTCTTGCGGTCGACCCCCTGCGGCACGACGGGTCTCTTCCTGCGTGTAGCCGAGCTGCGCACTTGATGGCGCCAGCGCCGGCGGGCCGCGCCCTGGGGAACCGGGCCGGTCTGGCGGCGATCCGCCTCCCGGGCCGGGGCCTGGAGGGGCAGGCGCTCCAGGTTCGGGCGGAGGTGGAGAGACCTCCTACCCTGACGCCTCGATTAAGGAAGTGTCCGTTTTCGGTTCGCGAGAGGGCGTCGCGGCCGTCATTTTGGCGGGTCCAGGTCCGTCGGCTTCGGTCCCAGGCCGTTTTCTGTAAGGGGAGGTTTACTAAAGGGAGGTTTGTCCATCCCCGATTCGGCACCTGGTCGGTGCGATCGAAGCCGGTACGGAAAGAATCCATGAGGGAAAAAAACACAGACACAAGTCATCGTTGATCCCCAGGGGAAGCTGTGGGAAGTGGGGTGGGAGACTCAACTCGAGAACGCATGAAGAACTATATATGGGGAATCCTGGGATGGGCACGAAAGCCGACAGCAATTCCTGCTCTTCCCTGGCATCCTCGCGTCATGAGTCAATCACAGCAGACGGTGCCGGGCTGTCTGCGGCCTCGGGGGGCCCTCCTGTCGGATCCCAGGGGAGTGGAATAGCTAGCTAATCGAGGGCCAACCCAAATCGGAGGCTTGGGGACAGCAGCGTCTGCCCACTTTGAACTGGCTTCGCTGTCGGTGCCGCCGCGGGCGTTGTCCAGCTTGGACGAAAAAGACGGCTGCACGGCAGCGGCCGCTGTAGGCTTTGGAGAACACCTGCTGTTGGGCACTGGAATTTCCACCCTTTTTTCCGTCACCCCTTTCAAGCGTGCCGACTTCTGGTCTCGGGGCCGGCCTCGTCGGCTCTGGTGCGCGAGCCGGCGATTGCCCCCCGACAGGATGCGGAAGAAGGTGGCCGTGAATCACAGGAACTACGGCTTCTAGCCGCGCGTTGCTGGCGCCAGTGGGCGTGGCTTGGCGCGGCCCTCCTCCTCCTCCTCCTCCTCCTCCTCCTCCTCCCACTCCCCCTCCTCCTCCTCCTCCTGCTCCTCCTCCTTGGCTTGGTTAGGGTTCTCGAATCGCTTCGCTCATTCCGCCGGCCCGTGCAGTGTCGTGGCTGCTGCGCGCCCGTCGTGTCGTAGTAACTGGGAATGTGTTCGGGGGGGTCTTGATGGAGGGTTTCTCCAGAGGGCTTATGCGACCCGGCCCCCTCCCCCTCCCCCTCCCCTCCCCTCCCCTCCTCCTCCTCTCTCCTCCTCCTCCTCCTCCTCCTCCTCCTCCTCCTCCTCCTCCTCCTCCTCCTCCTCCCTCCTCCTCCTCCTCCTCCTCCTCCTCCTCTCTCCTCCTCCTCCCTCCCTCCTCCTCCTCCTCCTCCCTCCTCCTCCGCCCTCCTCCTCCCTCCTCTCCTCCTCCCTCCTCCTCCTCCTCCTCCTCCTCCTCCTCCTCCCCTCCTCCTCCTCCCTCCCCTCCCCATCCCCTCCTCCCCCCCCCTCCTCCTCCTCCTCCTTCTTCTCCTCCTCCTCCTCCTCCTCCTCCTCCTCCTCCTCTTCCTCCTCCTCGGGTCGCCTACGGCCCCAAGGGAAACCGTGCAGGGTCCTGAGGCTTTCTGGGGCCTCTCGGGGAGCGTTCCGAAGATTCTCATGAGGGCGTCTTGGAGGCTGTGCTGGAGGATTGTCCTGTAGCAGCGCCAGCACTGGCCTGCGTTCGCTGAGACCCTCCTGAGGCCTCCTGGGGCCTCTCGGGCGCCTCCTCCTCCCTCCTCCTCCTCCTCCTCCTCTCTCCTCCTCCTCCTCCTCCTCCCTCTCCTCCTCTCCTCCTCCTCCTCCCTCCTCCTCCTCCTCCTCTCCTCCTCCTCCTCCTCCTCCTCCGCCTCCTCCTCCTCCTCCTCCTCCTCTCGGGCGCCCCGCGCGCTGCCTGCACTGGCGGGCGTGGCCCGGTGAGGTGCGGCGGTCTTCTCATCGGGGATGTTTCCCGCGAGTGCCGACGGGCGGAGCCGACGGGCCCTCCTGCCCTGCTCTGCCTCGTCCTCCTGGTGCTCCCTGCTCTTCTCCTTCTCCTCCTGCTCCTCCTCCTCCTCCTCCCTCTCCTCCTCCTGCGCCTCCTGCGCCTCCTCCTCCTCCTCCTCCTCCTCCTCCTCCTCCTCCTGCGCCTCCTTCCCTCCTCCTCCTCCTCCTCCTGCTCCTGCGCCTCCTCAGTTGGTCGTTGTGGAGATCTCCCTGGAACCCACCGAACGGATCTGTTCGACTGTAGCTCGACTCTAACTCGACTCGAGTTCGGTTCAGGTTCGACTCAAGTCTCGGCGGACGTTCGACGTAGCATCCGCGTGTCAGTGGAGCGAGTGGATCCAGCAAGGTCCCCAGAACGATCATCTGACATGCATCGTGGAGAAGCTTCGTCCCGAGAGTAGCACTGATACTGATAGTGGACTCAGGGCTCGTGCTGTGAGCCTATTTTCGCCGTCAGGGCACGCAGTTTTCACATCCGCCCGTGGCGCAAAGCTGAGCTTGCGCCTGCGAGGACCTGGATAAAACGCCTTCAACCGATCAGTCGCAGTCAAGACGTGACCATCCGAATCCCAGCCAGGGCAGGAATAGGAGGAGTCAGACCTTGACAGGGTCCTTGTCGCGCTACCGGCTTTTACCATGCTTCCCCTGCCAGGTCTGAACGCATCGCATTCTTGCTTCAATTGCTTCCAACAGTTCACCGGCCGATTCGAAGTCCCGCTGGATACCTCGAGGGCTGGGCTCGGGGTGGGCCCCCGGACGGACGAGCATGTGTAGGAGGGTCTGGTGGGACGAGGCACAGCCCGCACGCATTCGATTCTACAGTTATGATGTTCCAGCCTGCTTCAGCCTCGATCGCAGTCATTCAGGAGGGAACACAACACACAGACACCATGACTCGTCGATTCCCAGGAGGATATGGGAAAATATGGGAAAGGGGGGGGGGAAGACGACAACCGAGAAACTATGGGGAATCCTGTTCTTCGTGTGTAGTTGTTTGTGTGTCCCAGGACCCCTTCAATCATGAGCTTCGAGCACAGGGAAGGCATCGAATCCGGAAGGGTGCCGCGTGTCGGGCGCCGGAAGGCGATATACCCGCGCGGCGCTTCGCTGGCGTGTGTCGGGCAGGCACTGTTCTTCGCCGGCGTGTGTCGGGCACTGGTGCTCCAGATTCGTTCCTGGATATGGCCCTTGATCGAAGAAGAAGAAGAAACGCCATGCACATACACTGTTGGCGCTCCGCGCGGACTTCTTGGAAGTTGTTGTGTGCATGTTTCTCACTTAATTGTTTTTTTGGGGGGTCTTCTTCCTCTTCTTCTTCTTCTTCTTCTCCTTCTTCTTCTTCTTCCACTGAAGTGCGATGGGAGCGGCGTAATTGCACACACACACACACACGGCTCTACACGCACACGTGCGGCAGTCTCGTGCCGGGCATATCGCATATCGAGCGGCCCGCGCTAATTACGCCGGAGCGCCGCGGCCGCTCCGGGCGGCGCGAGCCGCGCGGTGTCGGGGACCAGCGAGCAGGTCGTCATGACGGGAGCCAGCCGTGGGGGACGACGGAGGACGTGCCGCGGGCTCCGTGGTCGACTGGACGTAAGACTGACCTTTCGCCGGAGTGACCTTTGGTGCGGGCACAGATGGGTCCCCAGATGGTTGAAAACGAAGCAGTAGCAACTGCTTGCGCGCCCAGATTTGGTCCCCCCGCGGCCCCCAAAAAGTCGCGCACCAAAGGTCACTCTTACCTAGGGTCACTCTTGCGTGTCGCGGGCTCCGTGGGCCTTGGAAGCGACAGGGCCGTTGTGTTGCCGGCTCCGTTTTGCCGTTTTCTGGACGGTTCCGACGCCGGTGTTGTTGCCGGTTCCGTCGCCGCTCTTTTTGCGGTTCTGGCTCCGGCTCCATCCCAGAGCCTTTTTTTTGTTGTTGCCGTTTCTGGTCGTTGTTCTGTTCGCCGCTTCCATGCTGGAGAGATGTTTGTTTGCGGAAGCGGTGAGAAAAACGGCCACGCCGTGTCCGGGGACCACTTGAGGTCGAGGGAAGAGGTACGTGTCGGCGGCGAGCCCAGGGGGGGAGCGAGAAGGAGGAGCCCTTCTCAGGAGTCTCGGAAGTCCCTGGACCTTCTGAGAAGTGTTCTGAGCCTTCCCCGAAGACACAGAAGGCTCTTCAGAAGGCGCGAGGGCTTTGAGAGGTCATGCCGCCTTCTGAGAGGGCCTTAGCCTTCTCTCACTTGCCCCCCTCGCTCGCCGCCGAACGGGGACCACGACAGAGGTGTCGCGGGATCTTGTCGATGCCGATCTCGGTCGTGGTCCATGTCGGCCGTACCTCCCCGCGAGGATGCTCCACGATGTGAAGCTGACCGAGATCGGCGCTGACCAAGAGCAATAACGACGTTTCCGCTTTCAGTCTTCCTCAGGGGCCTTGTTTATCCCCTCCAATCTAGGATCGGGGCGGAAATCATGAGGACGAAGACAAGCAGCAGTCCTTGCCCATTCTGCGCAGGTCTCGCTGTCGGTGCCGCCGCAGACGTTGCCCATCTGAGACACACCAGGTTACCTGCCCAACAGCGGCCATTGTCGTTCTTGGCCAAGATTTCTGGATGGTCATCGCACCCGTTTTCTCTGTACCCTTTCCGGGACCACTGTCGTTCTGACTCGCTCGTGACGTCGACCCCCAGAAGTCTCGACCCATTCCACGGGACCTGCTTCTCATCCGAGTCCTTTTTGGATGGCCCCAGGGCCTGAGGAGGGGTAGCCGAAGCAGGCAGCAAGCCTCCCGTCGTCACTTCCTCATGACCCGAGGGGGTCTGGGCTCCAGGCGTGCGAGCGACAGGCGGCGGCGGCGGACGCGAGCAGCCGCCGCTGCCGGAGCGGGTGGCGACCTTACCGACGCACCCGCCCCGGGGCGAAGTCGGGCATGTCCTCCTACATGAGGAAGATCCAAAAATAGACAAACACTAGTCTGGTGACGATTTTTCTGTTATTTTTCCTAACTTGGAATGCTATTCTGACTATTTGTCATTGTTCGCCCAGAATCCGCCTGTAGGATTGTGGAAGTCGATCAATGGAAAGGAGGCATGCTGCCAAATAATTTCCAGATGTCTGCAACATGTGTCAAACATGCTTTGAATATGTACAAACCATGCTTGACAAGTTGTTTAGAGAACATGTTTTACACGTGTTAACCACATCTTGAATGCAATGATAGGATTATTAGAGTGTCCATTGTCGTGGCATCCACAAGGGTACAGTCGGGCCACTGAAGGAGGAGCACTCTTCGTTGGGAAGGGTCTCGGTGCTCCTCAGCCGTTTTGCAGTTTGTCTTCGGTCGTCCCTAGGTTCTCCATGGGGAATCGAAGCCTCACTCATGGACGGAAGGGGCCTCGTTCCTTATTTTGGGGTTGCTTATTCGGCGGCGAGCGAGGGGGGGAAATGAGAAGGGGCGGGCCTTCTAAGAAGGGTCGGAAGTCCCCTGGCCTTCTGGGAAGTTTTCTAAGCCTCCCCCGAAGACACCAAACGCTTCTCAGAAGGCGCGAGGGCTTCTGAGAAGTCCCGCCGCCGTCTGAGAAGGCCTTCTCCTTCTCTCGTTTCCCCCCCATCGCTCTCCGCCGACTTGTGCCATGGCACCCACAGCTCTGGGACGGGCAGCAGCTGTAGGACGCACCCACAGCTGTCAGCTCCATGGGGAATCGAAGTCCCACTCATGGACGGAAGGGGGAGGGGGAGGGGGAGGAGGATGAGGAGGAGGAGGAGGAGGAGGAGGAGAGGAGGAGGAGGAGGAGGAGGAGGAGGAGGAGGAGGAGGAGGAGGGGGAGGGGAGGAGGGGGAGGAGGAGGAGGAGGAGGAGGAGGAGGAGGAGGAGGAGGAGGAGGGGCCTCGCTCCTCATTTTTGGGGGTCCTCATGTCATGGCACCCGCAGCTGTAGGAGGACGTGCCCCGACCTGAGGCTCGGCGGCCGGCCGCGCCCCGCGGCGGCGCGCCGGCGGCGGCCGCCCGCACACCGCCGGCAGGCGGCGCGCTCCGCGCGGCAGGGAGGGGCCTGCGCCGGCCGCGGGGGTCCGCCTTTGTTCAGAGCGTGAATTACCTACCCCGCTTTCGCTTCCAGGAAAAACCAAGTCATACCACGCGCCTCCTCGTCAAGCGACCTGACCAGTACAGGCCGTAGTTTGGCATCGCTTGGTATCTCTTGGAAGCGAGGGTGGTCAAAAGCGAGGTAGGTTTGTTTTCCCCCTATTTGTGGGCCTCGGGAGAGGTCGCCACATGCTGGCCCGAGCAGGCTCCTCGAGGCCTCCACTGCACCGGAAAAGCTAGGGGGCCACCTGCGAACCTTGCCCCTGCCCCCCACGATTTCTGAGGGGGAGGGGGGGGTTCACTCCGTTCGGGGGCTCTCGAGCGAAGCGAACCCCACCCTCCCCCTCGGAAATCGTGAGGGTTTGGGGGTAGGGTCCGCACGCGGCCCCCTAAGGTCGCCACAAGCTGGCCCGAGTGGGCTCCTCCAGGCCTCCGCTGCACTGGCAGAGCGCCCGCTTCTCACTGCTTCGGGCCTCCCCGTGCCCTCTGCCGGGCCCCTGGGCCGTCCAGCATGAGGCGGGATGAGCGCCGGCCCGTGGGGAAGGGGAGACGACTTCCGAGAGCCCCGTACTGGAACGAAAACAATTGTTCCCAGGCGGGACTTTATCCAATATCCACCGCCCGGAGGGTTCGTTTTCGGAGCCTCGGCAGGCGGTGGATATGGACATGTGCGGGCCCCTGGGGGCCGATAAATATATATATATATATATATATATATATATATATATACATACACACACAAGACTGCATTGGCGCTGCGCGCCATGCACCTTGGCCCTTTGAGTTCTGCACGCAAGCGGAATGCGTGCGTGCGTACATGCGCGCATGCATGTATACACGCGCACGCGCATGCACGTTCCGTAAAATTGTCTAGGTGCATACACTATACTAACATTATTGTATGTGTATACAGCGTACATATGTACATATACATGTATGTGTGTGTAAGGGTATGAACATTCATATGCAACTCGTACGGGGCATCCTCGGGCATTTTCGCTGCATGCCACAAGACCCTCAACGACTGGATCACAATGTGAAAAGTCATGGGAGCAAAATCCATGAATGTTGGCATTCGGAAACATCGTGGGGGTGTTTTCGGGGCCCTCGTGGGCCGTTTTGACGCCTTCATGGGTCGCTCTGGGGCCTTCTTGGGCCGTCTTGGAGAGCTTCGGCCCGCTGGAGCCCCCTTTGGACCCATCTTGGGCACTTCCAGGGACCTCCCATGGCCCTTTTGGGTCTGTGCTGGGAGCCCTTGGGGGGCCTATTGGTTCCATTATGGGCTGTCTTGGGGCTCTCTCGTGGGCGATCGTGGGGCCCGGCTCGGCCGTCTTGAAGCTTTCTTGGGGGCCTTTTGGAGCGTCTGGAGGCGATCTCGGGGGCTTGAAACCGTCTTGAAAGCTGATGAAATCCGAAAGGCGAATATGCTAAAGCTGTAAGATTTACGAAGGGAATGGGGCGATTTTTGTGTTTTGAAGGCCCCTTGGAAAGCTTTTTGGGGTGCCTTGGGGGTCTTTATGTTGGCATTCGGAAGCATCGTGGGGGTGTTTTCGGGGCCCTCGTGGGCCGTTTTGGCGCCTTCATGGGCCGTCCTGGGGCCTTCTTGGGCCGTCTTGGGGAGCTTGGGCCCACTGGAGCCCCCTTTGGACCCATCTTGGGCACTTCCGGGGACCTCCCATGGCCCTTCTGGGT